TTTTTGTAACTCGTGTGTGTTTTTAACATAACTTGTGTGTGAAAGAGAACTTAGTTTAGTACTCACATGCTGTGACAGCCGCTTTCTGTACATAAGCACTCAGAAAACCGTATATCAGAAGTTTAAACTAATATGGTTTAAAACGCATTATTTCAGCATGATAAACATGATAATCAGAACCAAACAGATGTTTTTTAGCAGGTACGAGCAGCTCTATTCTGGAAAAGGGGGCGGGGAGAAGCAGCTTATTTGTATTTAAAGGGACAGACTCAAAAAACAGCGTGTTTCTGCTTCCACTCAACATAGGCATTTTCAAAATGTTATAATAAATCATCTGTGGGGTATTTTGAGCTGAAACTTCACAGACACATTCTGGGGACAACAGAGACTTATATTACATATTGTAAAAAGGGGCACAATATGTCTCCTTTAAAAAATGGCTTTAATTTGTCTTCCAATATGCAATCCCAGGATGCACCTAATGAAGTTGACTGACAGAATGTAAAATGTGCAGATGGTGTCTAAGCAAATAATCACTATGTAAGTCCTATATTTCCATAAATAATGAGTCATCTAAACTTGTAACTGGTAGTGCATATCTGTGCAGATCCTGTTTAATCTGTATGAGAGAATGTTCCTAAAATTAATTAATAATTTTTCATTGTGTGTTCTATTCTAATTAATTGCATTTCATTTAATTGTAAATTTATTAGGATTTTGTCACTTTTTATTTCTATTGATGTAAATAAAGATCTTTGGAATTTGAATTAGAATCACATAAAGGTTTTGAAGGTGTGATATTTTTATAAATGATATTAATGTGTGGAAACATGTTTGAAAACACAACTACTCACTACTTGTAAGCTAAAAGTAATACAACTAACTTTTACCCAAAATGAGCATCTTTTCTCAAATGAAGACATCTAAACTCACACACACACACAAAGTAGTTTGTGTGGCTCTCAGTGTATATTCTCTTGTTTTCTTGGTTGTTATGTCGCTCTCGTTGTTATGTCTGCGGGTGAGTTTGTATAGTGTGTTCATACAGGACTCAGGAGAGATGATAAATGTCAGTGAAGTTTGTTTGGGTGAATGCAGAGAGAGTGTAGGATGGGCGGGATTCACGCTCCCTTCATGAATAAATGATTCCTGCTTTTCCCCATGAAAACGCAAGGGCTGTTGCTGCACTCTCAGGTTTCTCGGGATGGAGAGTCCTCTGGCCCTTTAAGAGGAGGTTGAGGGGTCCATGCAGAGTTCCCAGGGTCTTTAATGGAGACAGAACACATTTGAGAAAGACCCCATTGTGTCCTTCCTTTTCAAAAAAAATAAAAAAGAATCAAGCTTTCTCTCTCTCTCTCTCTCTCTCTCTCTCTCTCTCACACACACACACACACACAGACACACAGACACACACACACACAAATACACAGACAGAGACAGGGGAGATAAAGGAGGCAGAAAGTATCAAACATGGTCTTAAAAGGATGAGAAAGGAAAAAAATGCTAAAGGTAAGAATGATGAGACTTTGTTTGGGCAGACAGAGAGGGTAGTGTGGGTGGGTCAGGTTAATATGAGAGGGAACTGATTAAACTGCCTCACTAAACTAGTCAAACAGGCTAAACTCGGTCTGCCTCAAATCACATACGCTGACTGTCATTTCATTAGAAAATCAGTTACAGAGTAGACTGACCGCAGAAGTGAAGAAAAAACTTAACAGGTCACTTTTCATAGTTCAGTTTTTTAATTAAATCTTGTGAAAAATGGTTTGTCAACAGGGTTTATTTACCAGAGGTCAACAATTCGGATGACCTGGTGATTCGGGACATTTGATGAAACTCTCACTTTGCCCTGCTGTGCTGTCATTTTATGTTCACTGAATATTTGTGTGACATATTGAATGTTGTTTGCTCAATTCTGCTAAAATAAATATGTTACTAGGGTATCTCTGTGTGTGTGTGTGTGTGTGTGTGTGTATACAGTATTTACAGTATATACATATATAGAGACACACCGAGAGAGAGATGGATGCATGCCAAATGAAAGGGGAAAAAAACATCATAAAGTGTTTTAGTACAGTGTTGGGTTGCCATATGCCACACATCAGCTTTAATGTGCCTTGAGACTGATTCTTGGAGTCTTCTTCCCTCATGTGCTGTCTAACATGACAGGTGTTCAGATGGGTGTTGAATTATGTGAAGACCCATCAGGGTAGAAATGTTTCGTCATAGGATAGAGGTGATTACTCAGAACATGATTGGCAGTGAGTCTCCCCTTAAACCATGTCAGTAAAATGCCCTCCACTGCATAACAGAGCTGCTGGATTTTCCTTTCACTCATCATTCATCATCCATCTGTATGTGAAATGTGTACTACTACTGTATTACTTGTAATATGAGCCCTGTATACACACCTGATGTGTTATCAATAGTGTCTTAAAATGCTTTTCACAACAACAGACTTTGTCAGTCGTACTAGCCTCCATCCATTTAGAGCTGATCAGTCCTTTATCTCAAGCTCTCTGTCAAGTCATAGATCTGATTAAATTCAAACACTAAAGCTCACACTTTCACAGATGTGATTTACTGACTGGGCTTGAGAAAGAGATTGTAGTGCAGAGATTCGTGTTCCTGTACACCACCTTCTGGTGGCTAACAAAACTACAGGCGCGTGCTGAAAGCCGTGACAGTGCTGATGACTGCTCAGGGTCCTTCTAAAGAACTTCAGGGCTGGAGAAACCTGCGGCCAGTAGCTCTCTCTGTACAGAGCAGAAGGGCGCTGAGGGAAGCCTTGTTATTTGCTCATTCCTCCACTTTAAGTCTGAGACTTTAAACCTTTTTGTTTGCAGCTCTGAAATCTAGCAGCAAATAACATTAATCACATCCTTTATGCAGGATTCACCAAAAAATGTAATTTCATAGAAATAAATGTCTTTGTACTTTAATATATGAATAATGCACTGTAAGCTGGTCATTTTTACAAAATAAACCCCTCCTCACCAGATAAATTTCATACAATAAGTTTGCATTAAATACTGAACTGAGTTGAAATTATTTTATAATCTTTTCCTATATATAAGCTTCTGTTAAGGGAAACTGCACCTTTATTACAGAAACATTAAAGTTCTCAGAGGTCATTTTAGGAGCTGTCACAGCGTGTAGTTCAAGAAACTCAGTTATAGGAAGTATAGAAACTATAGAAATACAGTCAGTATCAGTAACACAATGGTGTCAGCTGCGACTGTGTGTAATAAGAG